AGAAAAAACTCACTTTAACAAATATTTTCTGACAAATAAATATGAGGATCCGAACAGCCCAATCAGCCTACGGCTAATAAGAGAAAAGTAAAAGGTGGAAATGGAATCTAACTCAAAACCACTTAGTATAAATGAGCGTAAAACGAAATGCAAACCGACTCTGATAGATCAGACTAATGAAAAATAGGGAAAAGGCCTCTAACTATCGCGAATCGCTTCTAAACAAGCCAATCCCAAGACGAAATCCCACATCATGAGTGTCTAAATTTACATCATAAATGCCATTAACTAGCCTCAACTATAAGTATGGATACGAAGACCAAGAAGTTGTGGCCTCCATTTTGGTTGGAGTCTCCTTTCGATGTATAGTAGTCATTTGACCTTATGTGAGATGTATTCGTCATATTTCGTTTAAGGTGTGAAGGACTGCTAGTAGAATCTTCCTACAATGACATGAGCAGAACTGATATTGCCATTGAATTTCACATATCCTTGCTTTCTCAAACGTTATTCTCCTCCAGGAAGGTTTGAATAGTTCTTATCAACACCCCGAGCGGAAGTTTAACCGTGACAGTGCAGAATGGTAGCTTTACATGTTGACCACTCGGTACTCGCGGCAATGTGGCCGAGTGGTTGACGTGTCAAACTCACATTCTGCACTGTCACGGTTCGACTCCCGCTGGGGTGTTGATAAGACCTATTCAGACCTCCCTGGAGGAGAATAACTTTTGGGAAAGCAAGGATATGTGAAATTCAATGGCAACATCAGTTCTGCTCATATAACTGTAGGAAAATTCTACTACCAGTTCTTCACGCCTTAAACGAAATAGGGTGAATACATCTCATTAGTTTGTTGTCTACTTGAATGGGACTTTGACATTAGTAAAGGAAAACCGTGTTCACATGTGCTGGGTTAAACGAGATTGCCATGATATATCGCGAAATGGTCCCGACCTTGTGGAAGACCCGAGGCAACTGCGAGCAAACAGACTGCATCGGGACACAGTTGATTTCAATCAGAATTTAATGTAAAAGAAGTAAATTATGTGTCCGAAGTAGCCGCATCGCAAAGGATTTATAGTAATCCGAAGAGTGTGCTTGTAGAGAAAGGTAAACAATACCTGTCATCTCGATGGCCTGAGAGATACGGATGAAAAGAGGTCTTGCATACGTTGGCAAGACAGTGGCAAGGCGACCAGCCATTTGATCCAATAGATCCTGATGCTGTGGTCCCGAGATATCCGATTCAGTCTTTACAGAAGAACGCGACGTTTCCGGAGTTCTCGGAATGGCGCCGTTGGTCATGAAGGGCAAAGCCCCGTTAGAATGTTTGACGGACTTCAAAATAAAATTGAGGGGTATCAGTTTGAAATCTAAACGACTTAATAATTTAGCATTAAATAATATACAATAAAAAATGTTAAGAAATGCTTCTCTAGTAGTGACGAGATCGGAATAATAAAGGAAACCCACTTTCTTTAAACAAATGAAGAAGATACAGGCATGGATAGAAGGTACTATCCAACTCAAATGCTTGACAAATTGTGTGGATCATAAGAGTTTCATGGTATATCAGAAGCTGATAGAATAAATGTAAATTCAAATGACAAGAGTTGAAAAGTAGAACAGCCAGTTAAAAAGTCTGCCTCGGCGACCTCAATAAGTAAAAGGATATGAAGAAAAATTGGATTTCGAAGAATTCCTAAATGAAATATTGTTGCGTGACTTTCCATTTCGAAGGTAGAGTTGGTTGGAAGGAATTCGTGATGTGGTCTCACCGAAAACCGTAGAAAGATTTCCGCGTATGGAAGACTGTTGGATTGCGCGAAGAAAACCTCGGCTCACCATCCTGCGACCCCGATGAAACTGTGCTAAGCTTACGTCTGTATCGTCGTGACAGACATCATCAGAGCAAGATGCCATACTTTGCGAAATAGAGCAAAACTATACAAAACCAAGAAAAAAGATGGTCGGCTTGATCTTAATGAAGCTACTTCAACCATCTTCTACATACTTGCAAATGAGTCAAGTTAACTTCCCGAACCGAAAGTGCGTTCAGTGGCATCTGTTTGATTACACAAAAAACTAGAGTACGATCGTCTAATGTTCAATCATGTTTGGGCTCGTGATATTGTCTATGATGTGTATGTAATGCTCATGTCATGGGAAGTATGATAGTCCCAGCTAGACTCGGGGATGATCCTGCCTACTCTTGCCCACTGGCTCTTCCTGCATCCCCTATTTCACTTTCCTTAGGTCTACCCAACAACGACAAAAAGTTCATACTTAGTTTTCCACACTCGTTCCTCCTATTCACGACGTTAGCTGCTTTGTTATTTTCGATAGACTGCCTAATCTTACGCTTTGACGTGAAGTCCCCGTAACCCACAAAGTGTGTTTTGTACAAGTCTATTAAGCACCCTGTTTTGGCAAAATGTGTTCAGCGAGCTCAGATTTTTAGACCCACAGACATTTACAAGCTGACTTGTGTTCGCATAGTCTCTTGTGAATGAATGGGTCGGCAGGTCTTCCCCACGTAGACCCTACCACATGAGCACAAAACCTTGTAGCAGCCTGATCTAGAAAAAGGGTCTGAATATTTCCTAAACGAAGGAGCTACTGAAGAAAGCGTTAATTTCTCTTTATATATTGTTTTTTATGTTCCATTTCCTCAGTAGTTCACCCAACTATTTCGCAAGCTGAAAGGAGGGAAAAATCAGGAACCGAGTAGTATTGTCCAGTTGTCTATCCCGCACCTGATAATAAACTCCTCTGGACTTGTTAATTACAATTGATATATAATAGTTTGCTAATCCTAATGGGTAATTGATTTGAAACAATATATCCCTCAATCTACCAATCACCTGCCCCTATGGTTTGTATCCGCTAGACGCAGACTCCTTATTATCATGCACTTCATACCTCCTATTTTTACTCTATATGCATGGTTCGAGAAGAAATTAATAAGGAGACCCACGTGAGTGGGTTTCCTATATTCGTCTCTACCTAACTTATTACCTTCTTTGCTCACTAATGCATCCAAAAAGGCAATTCATTTTTCTTTTATAACTTCATGGTAAGCTTAGTGTTTGCATCTATTATATCTATTAGCTCAAGGAATTCCCCAAACTATATTTTCCGTGTTGCCAAACAGTAAAGTAATCGTCCATATAACAAGCGGACAACTTGGTAACTAGGAGTGCCTCTTTAAATACGCGAACTTCTAATTGGACCATAAAGTTATTAGCTAAAATAGGGACTAAACAATATCTCATAGCCAAACCCCGTGTCTGCTCATAAAACTTACTATTGAA